ATCACTATCTTTAGGTCAGATAGCTTAGTAAGTCCTTTATGTAGTCTTGGTACTCAGGTGTTATACATACTACACCACTGTGTGTTTCTCCTTCCAGGATGATGTTATTTCAAGTTGATGCAGAATATAATTTAGCCTTATGAAAAAATTCAACTTTTGGCTCTTGAATGAAAGATAATGCACTGAAGATATTATACTCACATGTGTATGTAATGACTTTGTAATAAACTTACATGACAGTAACTATGGAAAACATGATCATAAATAAATGAAAGTATAATTAAGTTGTTCATTAACTTAGGAGTGATGGACCAAAAATACTTAACAACTTTTGGTTTCTTTGAATTACTTCTATCAACAACTTAGGTGATTGTGAATGGAAGATGGTGCCATTTCAATGGTTGCATTTAATTTACCATTCACTACTAAGAGCTGCTGTATATATAGTCAACCATTTACTGTGGGAAGCCAGTAACCAACACAGGTCCTACAAATGTTTTATAGCTTGGCTGAAAATTTTCTTTTCTAGTCTTAGTAGTATAGTTCACATGAATGATCTATGGGAACAGGTTTACTGAGGTGTCTGGTGCAGCATATTTATCTTCAGATTTGTGTCATCATTTTTCATTTTTGTGGTTTCTTGAAATATTCATTCCACTGGTGTACTATATATTCAGTTGAATTTGTGATATTTTATAACATATATTTTGTACTGTGCCCATATTTGAAGATTGTTTGGTTGATTTTTAATGATTCGTGGTTGGCAGAGAGGAGTGCTGAGCCTTTTTTAAGCCTATGTTTATATACCTTTAGTCCAGCACTAGGAGGCTGAGGCAGGAAGATCTCTGATGTACATAGTGAGTTCTACACTATCCACAACTTACATAGTGAGCCCTCCTCCTGGGTCTGTAGCCCTAACTCTGTTAGGGCAGAGATAGGTGGATAACTCGACTCAATGAGAGACACTGTTTCAGAAAATAAGCTAGAGAGTTTGGCATGGTGGTGCACTCCTTTAATCCCAACCAGCACTAGAAAGGTGGAGGCAGGCAGAACTCTTTGAGTTCGAGGCCAGCCTGGTTTACAAAGTGAGTTCCAGGACAGCCAAGACTGTTAACACAGAGAAACTCTGTCTCTGTAAGCTTTAAGAGAGAGAGAGAGAGAGAGAAGGAGAGGGAGAGGGAGAGGGAGAAGGAGAAGGAGAATCTGAGGAAGATACCCAATGTTGACCTCTGTACACGTTTTACACTCACCTACACATATATGTGCATACATACAAACACAATAATGAGCATGTATGTGAGAGATCCCAACTCAACATTTTTAGACCCCTAGTGACTAGCCCATCACAGAGTGACTTGCCCTTCTGCCCTCTCCTGAGAAACCGGAGACCTCAAGATAAACTTAAAAGATAACCCTCCTTGATCCAGGAACTAGCTCACCACATTCCTGCTCAATGTTTAACTGTACAATGCCCAAAGAATGCTTGCTTGAGATAACCTTCCTGTTAAGACATAAGCTATCATTTAACTTCTCATCCTTTATGATGTTTGCCTAACTCCCCAATTCGGTTTCTCCCTTTTAAAAACTCCTGACTGCAGTTACTAGGGGTCAAATTCCTCTGCCCCTGCGAGGGTCATGAGCTCGGCCCCAGTGCACTGGTTCCCCGAATAAACCTCGTGTGCTTGCAGCAAGAACGGTCTCTCTTGAATTATTGGGGCATCGGCTTATCCCAAGACTTGAGTGAGGGTCTCCACACTCTGGGGGTCTTTCATATGTACACATGTAGTACATACAAGCACAAAATAGCCTCCGTTCTATGAAAAGCAGTGTAAAGGGAGTAAGAAGACAAACCAGAGATGGGGATTCAGTGATACCATTAATAGGACTTTTAACAAAATATGCAAAAACTTAAAATCCAACAGTTAGAAAACAAACAACTCTGCAGGTGAAGTGTTTGCCACGGAAGCCTGGCAGCCTGAGTGCAGTTCTCAGCCCTTCCAGTAGAGGAGAACACCATGTCCTGCATGTTCTCTTTTGACCTTCGCACTCTGTTGTGACCCACACTCACACACCACGCACATGCACATAAATAAAAAATTTTTTATAAGATGCACATGGTAATCAGGCATCATAAACATGTCATTGCTACCATAAAATTATTAGAGTAGTCAGAATCCTAAATATTGATAGTATCAAATCTGGGGAATATGAATCTCATTCATTGCTGGTAAGAATAGGAAATGGAATAGCTTGTTTATTAATAGACAGTTTATATAAATTTCTTATAAAACGTAGCATTTTTCCCATACAGTGATACTCAGCAATCATACCCTTAGACATTCACCAGAGTGAATTGAAAATTTAAGTCTACACATACACGTGTACAAAAACCAGAGCACACAAGTGCTTATAATAGCTTTATATACAATTGTCAAAGACAGCAGCTAGCATGTCCATCAGTATGTGAAGGCTTACACACTGCTGTATTAGAAAGTGGAATACTCAGGGTTAAAAAATAAACTAACTGTCAAACTAGGAAAAGACACAGAAAAATTAATTATTATTATGAAGTTAATACTGCTAAACTATGTAATCTGAAAGAAACAAAACCAGTTAGATGATGTGTGGTTATTAGAGGTTATGGGAGGGATGAGTAAAAGCAGAGCTCAGGTTTGTGACATTGGAAGTACTCTGTATAATGTGTGAGGGGGTAGATATGTGACATGATGCATGTGTACAAACCTATAGAATGTACGTAATCAAGAGCCCTAGACATCAAGTGTTGACTTGTTCATAATGGTTAAGTTAAGGTAGAATTGATGGGTCATAACAAATGAGGCTGATGTAGGTGAAGACGGGAATTCTGAACTTTTTGTTAATTTTTGCTGTGAACCTAGAACTGCTTTAAGAAGTGAAGTGTATCAGTTCCTTTCTTCAATGTCCAATTTGTGTAGAGCTGTTCAGATAGGAAAGGGTTTCAGCATGCTTCCTACTGTGCCAGCTAATGCCTTCTAAAGATAAAACCCAGTGGCACAGTTGAGAATCCAAGAAACCTTTGGGAACTGCAGAAAGTAACACTTCTGTTCTAGGCGTTGCCAAGTTTCTGATCCTAGGACTTGACTTTGACTTTGTCAAGTTTGTCTGGAAGGGTGCTCTCGGGTCTGTTTTCAGGTGTGCCAGTTAAGAAAGGTTTTGCTTCTTCATTTTTAGAAAATGAACACCCTGTTAACGAATAAATAAATGGGATTACGGTTTGTTCTTTGGAGAGGTTGTATTGTTGTTGCATGTCTTTATGATTCACATTTAAGTACCATGGTTAAGACAATTTAAACATCAGAAAATTTATGGATTTGGTTCCAAACCTATTATTCCTGAGTAGAAAGTTATGTACACTTTTTTTTCTCTTTATTTCAGTGATAGAGTAGTACATACTTGGGTTATCTGCATTCCACATTTAAAGAATTAGTTATGTTTTAAATACAAGTCAGTCCACACAGCCAGAAGCTAAAGCGATCCAGTGCATAGCCTTGCTCCTGCCTCGCCTGATCCTCTCTCACAGCCTGGCACTCATTCTGTGGACTCTTCCACAGCTTATTAAAATGGCAAGAGTTATTTTGAGAAGTAAAATTTAAAATGCAAATACTTTTTCTCAGGTAAGGAGGTGATTTGTTACCCATAAGTTGTTGATTATTGAAATAACATTCCAGTACTTACACAAAAAAAGGAGGTAACGTGCCATGAGCCCTTCTTTATTATGTTAATTTTTTATCTTCTTGATGAGAAATGACTTACTGAGTCATCCTTAATTCAACTTGAAAGAAAAATGACTACTAGGAAGACCTAAAGCAAAACAATAACATCTGTTAACAGCAAGCTGTATAGTTCCCATTTGAAAGTATGTGTATTTAATATTCCTATTTCCTGAATAGGCTCTAAGGATGTTAAGAAACAGCATGTGTATGTAACTTGTTGGTGATCAAAATTATAAATATTTTAAAACTTGAAAATAGAAACAATTTTCATAAAATTCCATATAACTATCACTTAAATAAAATAGTTTTTATAGTTGTTTGGTTTAACCTTTAAAAAAATTCCTTCTCTGGAACATTTAAAGGGGAGCCTTAGTTTTGATACTGTGCTGTAGGTGCTAAAGTATGCTTCCTATGAAGATGTGGGATTGAGGCCTGGAGAGATGGCTCTGTGGTTCAGTGCTTGTTGCATCCAGAGGTCCAAGTTGGGTTCTGAGCATCCATATGAGGTGTCCCACAACCCTGTGTGACTCTAGCTATGGGAATCAGACACTCTCTTCTAGATGTCTTGGACATCTGAATACACATTGCATACACGTAGACACACAGAAACATGCACATACAAACAATCTTTCTAATGTATTAACTAAAATCTACATGTTTTCTTATATAGTGACAATGCAGTTTGCTATTTTCCAAATTGCAAGCGTTGTCAAAGACGTTGGCTGGATATACAAAGCTTTCCTTTCTAGCCTAAAGAAAACCAATAATTTGGCTCTGAAAGGATGGGCAGTTTCTTATGTGTTCATTTGATACAGATAGGTGGTTCTCACAAAGCTAGGGACAGCTGGCCCACATGTTTCCTTCTAGGCAGTGAAATGTGCCTCTTGCTGATCTCTAAACTGTGCAATCTACATAAAGATTTTAAACTTCTTTTGAAAAATGTGTCTGAGTGCTTTGTCTTCATATATGTCTATGTACCATGTGAGTATCTGGAGCCCTTGTAAGCTAGAAAAGGGTATCAGATCCCTTGGGACTGGAGATATACATAGTTACGTGTTGTGTTGGGTACTGAGGATCAAACCTGGGTACTTTGGGAAAGCCCTGAAATTTACAAACATCATAATTAGTGAATTTCTTGTGAGAGGCAAATGGAATTCTGAGTTGTTGGTGTATTACATGTTGGCTTTTGACGAATGTAGTCTTTGGTGCTAGACTCATATATTAAATTTACACTTTTGCTTTTAAAAGGTCTTTGATTTGCGGCAGTGTCACCGGCAGATGCAGCAGCAGGCAGCCACTGCACAAGCTGCAGCTGCTGCCCAGGCAGCAGCTGTGGCAGGAAACATCCCTGGTCCTGGATCCGTAGGTGGAATAGCTCCAGCAATCAGTACGTATATTTTTTATTTTTCTTTTCAAAGTGTAGTAGTGGCTTTTAATCTTGACTCACTCAGTTGATCAATTGTTTTAAGCAATAATAGAAATTAAATTTTTTTACTGGGTTATAACATTTGAATTTGTAAAAAACCTTTCTTCTGTAGTAATTTCTCTTTGCCTGGATAGGCGCCTGTTTGCATTAGCTGATAAAGGGGGTTGTCATACTTGGGTTTCCCCTCTTTGGCCAATGCTTATTATAGTTTTTGCCTCACCAGCCAAGGGGTTAATCACAGTGTTAGGCTTTATGCTAATGGGAACAGCTATTGCAGCTTCAGAACTGGACATCTCCATTTAGAAATAGTATGCTGAACACAGAGAACTAAATGAGGGTGGCATTTTATAATTGGTAGAGTTTTTAATTTTAGGGTAAGATCGAACTGTGCCAGGTTTCACACTGATGGGGAATTTTTTACTGCAGAGTTAAACTCCTGACTATAGACTTTTATGATGGAAACACGTGGCACCCATCTTCCACGTCTGAAGGCATAACTAGTGATTCATTCAACCCCTGTTCTTAACTTCTTCAGTGTGGTAAGCAAATCACACTGGCTAAGGAAACTGCAGTGAACCTGCAGGTTTCGCCACAGCACATTGCAAATTTCTCCCGTTAGTTTCATGGTAATACTGATAATGTGGACTGACTATGACTGTATGTTCTGATTGGAAAAATAGATACAGAGTCTGTTGTGACGTATGTTCAGGAGTTTACCATTTAGGTGTATATAAGACATAATCACTAATTCACTTTAAAAAGATTGGAGATCTAAACCATTTGCTAGTTTTAATGCTATAGACAGACATGTTCTATTTTCTTAAGAATTCAGACTAGCATTTTTATCTTCCCCCCCACCCCCGCCGCTGCTATGATCTCAAAACTGAGAGACAGACGCAAGTCAACTGAGAAGTTTCAATGGGGCCAAGTAGATGAGTGTCTGATTATCTGTCGGTCATGGCTTACTCTGGTGTGGCAGTTCAGACACTTAGGTTCTTAGAACCATGACGTGCCCTGACTTTTACAGAAATTGATTCCCTCCTATATCTCTACTTCTAAAGAGAAAAACAGGTGAAATATTGTCTCTGGTAGTTAAAATACATGTGTGGAATATGAACTGTCTTAACCAAGTTTTCAGTCCCGTTGATAAGGTTTAGCTCTGCAGTTACTTTTGACACTTTGACAGAGAAGTTGTATGCTGAGGAAAACAAATAAGGAAAGCAGAGTGTGGGGAGGATGGGAAGAGATGACACTGCTCCCTGACACCTTCCACACTTTTTCTGTTAGGTCTGTCTGCTGCTGCTGGCATCGGTGTAGATGACCTCCGTCGCTTGTGCATACTCAGGATGAGCTTTGTGAAAGGCTGGGGCCCCGATTACCCAAGACAGAGCATCAAGGAAACACCATGCTGGATCGAGATTCACCTCCACCGTGCTCTCCAGCTCCTTGATGAAGTGCTTCACACCATGCCCATTGCAGACCCACAACCTTTAGACTGAGATCTCTCACCATGGATGCCCTAGCCATTTTCAGGATGGTGGACTATGAAATATAACCCTGTTTATAATCTGAAGATCTATTGCATTTTTGTTCTACTCTGTCTTTTCATAAGGGGTTGAAAGATGTGTTTGCTGCCTTGCTCTTAGCAGACAGAAACTGAATTGAAACTTTTTTTTCTATTTTAGAACTTTTCAGTCATGGCTCAGAGCTTGAAGATCAGGAAGAACCAATTCTTGCTAAATCTTCACTGGTTGTTATGTATGAAGGGGTCATTCCAGTGCTGGGAACTCAGCCCCTTAAGTGACTGTGAGCTGCTTACTTGCAGAACGCTGGTGTGTTCCTCTGCAGAGCATAGTGTTGCTGATTTGAAGGCTGAGAAGTTCTCAAAGTTACTCACCTGTTACTTAGTGAGCAAAGTTATTGTTGAACACACTGTGTTCAAGTGCCACATGGGCAAGTCAGTTTTACTGAAAGCAACTTCACTATGTTTAAAAAAATCTTTTATCAACCTTTTATCCAGAATGTTTTTTGCAAGTTAAAAAGTGAAGGTGAATTAAATTCATACTGCCTTGAAGATTTCAGGGTTTTTTTCCCCCCCAAGACAAAACACTAATCTGTGTGCATAGTGACAATTCCTTACAATTATCAGTCAAAGAAATGCGATTTAAAATTACATTTTTAGCCCTAATAGATGACCATTATCAAGATGTGTACTTTTGCCCTGTTAAACAGTAGATGAATTCTTCTATATTTCTAGGCACATGGTTGGTTATAAAAAAAAAAAAAGCCTAGGGGGGATTTCTTTCCCTTGATTCACAGGGAGAAGGTTTTGTATTTATAAAAACACTAAAAGTAGTGTTGCTCTGCCTGATGCTCCACTGTTCTGCAAGATGGCAGTGCTTCAACTAAAATAATGAATATTTTGGAAACTGCTAAATTCTATGTTAAATACTGTGCAGAATAATGGAAACATTGCAGTTCATAATAGGTAGTTTGGATATTTTTGTACTTGATTTGATGTGTGACTTTTTTTCATATACTGTTTAAATCATGTATGTTTTGACATTGTTTAAAATTCAGTTTTTGTATCTTGGGGCAAGACTGCAAACTTTTTATAGCTTTTGGTTATTCTAAGCCCTTTGTTTGACATCATCAATCAGTCAGCAGTGACTTTGTGTAGAGACTGAAGTAGAAAAGTTGCTGATGCGTTGACTGTACCACAGACACAACATGTATACTTTTTACCTAGTTAGTAGAGTAAATAAAACTGAGTCTCAATATGCAAAGTTGAATTCTAGGTTTGTTTTTAAATGCTTTCCTTTTGCACTTTTGAGTCCAATCTCAGTGGCAAGACACCTTCTACTAAATGACAGGCGACAGCCAGTTGGATTGTACAGCTCTGGTTTTCCCCTCACACTCTACCAGGACTTTCCCATGTACATTATGTATCATGTGTAGAGTTGGATATTTTTTGAACTTTTATTTTACTGTAGCAAAAAACAGACCTGGGATAAATAGTGTGAATAAAATCAAAATCATCGAGACTTTTATTCTTTGCTCTGAGAGTTTTCTGTAAATTTTACAGTGCAGTAGGCATTTGGGCTCTGGAAACCCTTGTCTAGCAGTTGTCTTTATGCTGAAGTGATCATCAAGTCCCCGCAGCCTACTTCAGAGGGCTCCAGAGACTACTGAGTGTCGCTGTGATGGGAGTGGACATCTCAGTCCAACTTTCACACCGTGTCTTTTTAAAAAGCTTCTTTACCAGGTCATTTCTACTCTTAAATACTTACAAGTACTTTTATTGTCTGTGTAAGTTTACGTTTTTTTTTTTAAGTATTATACTGGCAGAATTATAAAAAGATACCTTCTCTAGAAATACTTGTCTTTAGATCCCTTTTACTATGGATGGGGAATAGGAGTGAGAGGGAAGAGTTTTAGTATAACAGACTTTTTGAAATCCAGGTTATCTGACTAGAACATTGTCCATGCAGTGGTACAACTTGATGCTTCCTTTTCTACTTATGGAAAGTTTTCCATGTTTAATCATCTTCATAAAGTATGTGGGAAATATTTGCTAAGAAGTGTCTCTTCAGAGCCAAGCCACCTGTCTTGGTTTTCTTACTAAGAGCCATAGAATTTACTTCTAGTTATTGATGATACTTGTAATTTGACTGTCCTATGCCTTTATAAACTGTTTCCTTTTGTTCCTTAGAAGTTGCCATCTTTGATGAGCGAGACTTTAAAAAACTTGCCTAACCTTAAACATTTTGTGTCCATTTGAGGATAAAGTAGTTTCTGTAGTTCTCAGAGTCTGATTGCAATGTGGGTGTGGTTCTGGGTGGTGTTCTTGGATTCATAGCTCAAGTCTCCTAAGACTACATTTGACTGGAAGCTGAGTGACAGATGAAGTAGGCCCACCCAGTTTAAACCCATTCTACTTTTGTCTTGTGCCTTTCTGTGCATGATTAAAGGGAATCCTTAATGGTATTGCCTTTATTTGCTTGGAAGTAGATTCTTTTGTGGGATAGTCTACCTTAATTGCTCCACTTTACTGCCCCTGCTGACAAAGATGGTGATAAACACTGCCATGCACTTGCTTTTCCACAAGCACCATCTTTTTGTATTGTCCTAACCCGTTGTTTCTATAAGCAGTTCAGGTTCACAGATAGGATGAGCTGCCTTAGGGGACATACCTGAAAAATCCAGCAACACATGACTAAGCTATGCTGTGTTTCAAAGTTAAAAATCCCATTTTGTGGGTAACGGTGGTGTTTGTATTAGCAACTTTGAAGGCAAAGCAAACTCGGAGGTTTTACAGTATGGAGAAGAGAGTCTTTCTGAAATGCTTGTGAAGTATCTGTAGAGATGAAATGTATTTACTCCTGGTCTGCTAGTAACTGACTGATTGTCACTCATTAGTTGTTTTTATTTTAATTTGTTGTCCCATTAGTTGAAACCTCTTGGAAGGAGCAGTTTTATTTGGAGTTGGCCAGAGTTCTTTTTGGTAGTTTCTGTAGGTTGCTGTTTTCGTCGCTGGCATTTTATTTAATGATAGAGTAGTAAAGACTTGGGTTAGATTACTACAGTGAAATCAAGCATGAACCTTGTCAAGGAACAACTCTCATAGGTGGGCCTGGTGGAGACTAGCAGGTTGTACCTCAGTGTGAAAAAATGTGTCCCCTCTCCCCAAGACAAACTCATCTTGCTACACATAGTGATCTGTAAATAGCCCCTGAAATCCTCCTTTGCATGGTCATACAGGCTAGCAGACTCTTGTTCAAGCCTTTCCAGTTTTCCCTTCTAATAACAAGCAGTTTCTTCTCTTGTGATGCATTAAGAAGTGTGGAAAAGCCAGTGGCCTTATCATAGTGCGCCCTTGGCAGGGCCTCCTCCCTAGCACTCACTGTCCATGCAGCGAGGTCATTTATCTGGTGTTACTCAAGAATGAAAGTTTCCATCATCTTGCCTTATTAAGCAGTAAAACTTTAAAAATTAGCCATTTATTAGTGGAAGCTATTTAGCAAATCAGAATATACTGGGTATAGCATTTCTTTTTTTCTGTCTCTCTACTGTCTCTGTGGACACTGGACCTCTGAGATAGACAGCACTATGTAGCCTTTCCTAAATGCCCAAGATTGCTGTAGTTTTTGATGTTTTTGTTTTGAATTCTCCTAATCTTCCTTTCTGACAGCTACCAATTCTTGAGTGGTTTGTTAGTGTGCCTCTCCTTAGTGTTTTAAATCCATTGTTCCTAACTGCTTCACTGAGGGAACCACATTATTAGTGTTCACCCAGGACATGGCCCTGTTAGGGTTGAAAAGGACTTTGGTGCATTGCTATTTGGCATTGATTTGATTGCTTCTTGATGAGCTTTATATGGTTGTTGTAGATAGAATTGAGTCATATTCATAGCCCCATAGCCTCCCCCTCCCCCAATGTTTTAAAAACTTAGTTTCCACGTAATTCACTCATAAAAGCTGTACTGTTTGCTAGAGGCACCCACGAACCACAACATCCTTGCTTGTTTTTTTGTCCTGGTGACCCGCACTCTGGCCGCCTTCCTCTATAGATACTTCTGACCTATAGGTGCCTTTATGCGAATGGAGGGTCTAATACCATGCCCCACGGAGTAGCTGATGTAATGACTGATGTTTTCAGGGATTTTAGCATCAGACGGAAATGAATGAATGAAGCTTTTTATTGCTTTTGCAAAGTGGGAAGGACCGAGGAGAATTTTGATGAAGACAATCATTTCTCTGTGTTCACAGTTTGCTTCAGATGGTTTTTTCAGTAGGCCCAGAGTCCACGATCCTGTTCAACCGAAAAATATGTGGCTCTGGACTAGGACGGTGGCACTTGTATTTCTGACTTAGTGTGTCCTTGGCAAGTCGTCTCCCTTCCTGGGCCTCAGCTGCCTCTCCTGTGAAATGAGGGGTTGGACTGTCCTGCCAGCTCTGGCTTCTAAGTGACCTTGCCCGCCTTGCAGCAGTTTGGCATTTGCTCTTTACCTGTGTTCTGCTGTTTGGGGGGTTCTTGCTTATTTCTTTGTTACTCAGTGAGACTAGGCTTCATCTTTCATTATCTGTTCTTCTGTGGACAAGTAGTTACATATGTCCTTACGACTTACTTTTAACCAAAGGCCTAGCACCACCTTAGGGGCTGCAGTAAGAACAGTGTGAAACATAGACACCTGGGGGTGGGGGAGTCTTCATTTCATTTTCCCATGATCTCTGTTCAAAGCCTATCTAAAAGCTCTACTAAGTCATGACATTCTGACTGTCAAGTTGGTGTGTGACACTGTCCTAATGGATTGAAATCCTGTTGTTAATGCCTAGTGATATTAGAGGTCCTTTCTTTGGGTCTTCAGTTGCTTAACTCTTCTATGCTCAAAACAGGAAGGTCTTCAGAATTATGTCAATATTTTAATTGATGCTATGGAAAACTGTATTGGTGAATGATTATTCACTTTATTTTTGCCTCTTTTGTATCCATTTTGATTAGACAACTTTTGGCTGGATCATTCCTTTCAGAGAGTTCTCTTCCAGCCTTCTTGGATGAGTATAATAACTGAGTTTGTTATTTTTAAGGACCTGGGAACCTTTCTAGGGGTGGGCTAGGGGTTGGAGAGTCCTGGTAGAGGCCAGCTCTGGGGTAGCTGGTGACGAAGGGATGAAACCAGCTGCTCTTCCTAAGGCTGCTTGTCATTGGTAGAAGGACTCACAGACTTGGAGTGGTTAAAAGACTAAATATGGAGTTGGCAAACTTCCTCTAAATGAGGTTTTTTGTTCAGTGCATTGGACATATGACTTAAGAGAAAAGCATGACTGCCTATAGATGATGAAAACTGGTGTGCTGCAGAGTCCCGTGTGGCAGAAGTGACTGCAGTGTTGGGGACAGATTTGGTGGTGGTACTTCCAGCTCTCTCCTCTGGGGTCACTCAGCTTGTGCTTTTAGGGAAACCTGGTCAGCTAACGCACCGGTTACTCCCTTTCTATATACTTTTGCCTGGTTGAAGTCTGTGGCTTAAAAATAAAAATAGTTGAAACTTTCTTGAGAACTCTGTAACAAAGTATGTTTTTGATTAAAAGAGAAAGCCAACTAAATCATGTGCTCATTCTTTTTCTTAAGCTCATGGATGTCTTGCATCTGGAAAGAGTTCCTGATTGCTTTAAGAATGTTCATACTTGAGATCAATATTTTCTTTGTGACTTTGAGATGGAAAATAATGGCATTCCAGAGATAACCCTGGAATAGCCCTCAGTCTTGTCTCTCTCTAGAGTAGGATGATGGTGACTGGCGAGCAGTGGGTGCTGGGAGGCGTTGGGGACAGTGGAGACAGACGGGCTGAGGAAAACTGTTGCCCTCTCGGTTTCCAGCTCCACGAGAGGACGAGGCTGTTTAGCAGGTAAGTGTTTCTACAGTAACAGCTGGAATGACTACATCAGCTGTTTCATCTTGATGATGGAGTTTTAGAGATGCTCCCCGGGCCAAGAGACTTGTTCGTTCTTGTTCGCTGACCTGAACTTTGCAGTGAGGGAAGTAGATTGGCAGTCAGTCTTACTGAGAAAAAAAAATTCCTTTGTGGAACACATTTCAGGAGAAGGGGAGTTGTATATTTTTATCTTTCTGCCCTTTGCTCTTTTTATTTCTTATGAGATGAGATCTCACTGCATAATTTTGGCTGACTTTTGAACTCACCATTCTCCTGTGTCAGCCTCTTGTATGCCAGAATTCTGGGTACATGCAATGTCTCAAAAGGGGGTTGGAGGCAATCCATTGAAGAGACAGGAATCCTAGACAGCACGCTCCAAACAGTTGACCTGCAAAGTACGTCAAGCAAAAGGTGCTGAGAAACTTGAGCAACCCTTTAATTAAAGGCCCTGGAGAACAGCACCTGCAGCTGACAGAGTCTGATTGACACTTGGAGGATAAGTCACACTTGTCTTAGCTTTCTGCTGCTGTGAAAAAGACTATGACCAAAACAACTTGAGGAAAGGGAAGTCGGCACAGAAACTCAGGAACAGAAGCAGAGGCCATGAAGGAGCACTCTTACTGACTTGCTCCCCATGGCTTTGACTCAGGACTATCCGCCCAGGGATGATACCACCCTCAGTGGGCTGGACCTTTCCACGTCAATCATTAATCAAGAACATGCTCTATGTATTTGCCCACAGGCCAGTCTGGTAGGTTCATTTTTCCCAACTATGGTTCCCTCTTCTCTGGTGACTAGCTTTGTGTCACATAGACCAAAAAGAAAAAGAAAAACCAAACTAAACATGCAACAGCAAAACGTACACTTCTGGGAATGGAGAAAATTTAAGTCATGGATGTAGTTGGATAAAAGGACTAACTTCTAGTGATGTAGGAGAACTATTTAGAAAAAAGTTGACTATGTAAAATTAACTTAAGATTTTTAATATTCATAGTAGAAACAAAGTAAAGTCTAGTGTGGCCGGGCGGTGGTGGCACACGCCTTTATTCCCAGCACTCGGGAGGCAGAGGCAGGCGGATTTCTGTGAGTTCGATACCAGCCTGGTCTACAAGAGCTAGTTCCAGGACAGCCTCCAAAGCCACAGAGAAACCCTGTCTCGAAAAACCAAAAAAAAAAAAAAAAAAAGAAAGAAAGAAAGAAAGAAATGTCTAGTGTAATAGCGTTGCCAAGGACCCTGTCTGATCCTGATCCTTGCATACTTTATTCGTGGCTGACAAGTCACACTGTCCCCACTTTCCATGTATAGTCACTGTGCCAAGCTTTGGGGTTTTGTGTTTTTCTCGTTTGCTTGCTTTTTTTCTCTTTTTTTTTCTTCTGTTTTCTAGAGGAGGTTTCACTATGTGGCCCAAAGTGTCCTGTGTCCCACTGTATAGACCTGGCTAACCTTAAACTTGGAGCAGTCCTCTTGCAACTGTCTTAAGTGCCAGGATTATAGGCATGTGCTACCATGCTCAGCTTAAGAAAAAGACGCTTTAAAATTCTTCAAGGCTAATATCAACTTGATACCAGAACCAGATAAGGATAACAAAATGATAGATTGTGTTGTTTTTCTTTCTTTTTTTTTTTTGTGGTGAACATTGATACAAGAGTTCTCAATAACATTCTTATCATTGTCAGTACAGTGCTTGGTGTGCAAGTATGAAGACCTGACCTCAGTTTCTAGAAGCCACATAAAAAAGCTTGGCAAGGTGGTACGTGTTTATAACCCAGGACTGGAAGTTAGACACAGGTAGGTTCCTGGGGCTTGCTGGCCAGCCAGCCTGCCTACTTGGTAAGCTCCACATCAATAAGAGACCCTGTCTCAAACAAGTGTTTTGCACAAAGGAACACCTGAGGTAGACCTTTGTCCTTATCCCACATGTGCTTGCACACATGCACACACACACACAGATACCAAAACCCCCAAAAAGATGCATGGTTGGCTCAAAACCAACTTAAGGGCAGAAGCCACATGACCATCCCAGTCAATAAAGAAAAGTCCATTGGCAAAATTCAACATTCCTTGACAAAAAGAGGGATGGGATGGAGAAATGCCTGAGCATTTAAGAGCACTTGTTGATTTTGGAGATGACATAGGTTCAGTTCCTAGCTCCTACGTGATGGTTCACAGTTATGTCTAACTCCAGTTCTAGAGGATGTGGTGCCCTCTTCTGAACTTCACAGTTACCAAGCATGCACACAGTACGCATACACTCACACACACAGAATTTTTAAAGTCCCAAAGAAACTAGGGTTGGTTCCTAGAAGAAACAGCTCAGCAGCATAATACATCATGTGATAGTGCTGTAGCCAACCTGTACCAAGTAGGAAACAATAGCATTTCCCTAAAATCTGGAACAAGATACTATTGTTTGTTAGTTGGATTTGACACAGGGTTCTCTACATAGCTCTGGCATCCTGGAACTCAATATGTAGCCCAGACTGGCCTCAAACCCACAGAAATCCCCTTGCCTCTGCCTTCTAACTGCTAGAATTAAAGGCATGTCCCACAATGCCCAGCAAGATACTATCATACAATATAGTGCTTGAGGTTGTAAAGCGCCAAAACATGAAAGGGCAAATAGGGAAGGAAGAAATAAAATTATACTGATTTGCAGATAACACGATCCTGTTCACAAAAGAGCTAGACATCATAAACACCTGCAAGGTAGGATCCAAAATCAAGAGAGAAAAAAAAGTAGCTTTTCTACATACTGGTAGTGAATTCACTGAAAGAATCTTGGGCTAGGAGGTTGGCAATATTCATAAGAGCTTCAAAAATCCCAAATAAACCTAACCAGGAAGGTGAAAAGCCTCTACAACGAAAACTTCATGACACCAAAGAAAAAAATTCAAGCTACTAAAAGAAGATCTCCTATGCTTATGGATTTAAGATTAAGTATGAAAATTGAAGCTACTAAAAGATAGAAGGTCTCCTATGCTTATGGATTTCAGATTAAGTATGAAAATGGCAAGTGCCGCCTCAGGTACAAGAGTGGCACTTAAATCTTGACAACAACCATACCAACAGCTATCTGATTGGATTTAAAGTCTCAAGGGAAATCATGCCTGGTACTGTGAACGCAGCCACCTACCTGTGGCTCCAGAGATCAAGACAAGAATATTACTGTCACTTTCCTAAACCAATATAGTCCCTAACAGTATTCTGAATAGTTTCACCTACAGTTAAGTGTAGCTCTCACTTGTATTAAAGAAGCCTCTTTTGCAGAAGACCTCTACAGAAAGCCTCTACTGATCAATTTCAGAGTACAACTTACTGGGCTACGCATCTACAACACAACCCCTACACCTGAGAGTGAACATGAAGAGAGGAACAAAAAGACTTTAAGAGCCAGAGAGGACGTCTGCTGCAACAATTGTTTTCCAGATATGACAGGGAAGCCCCACCCACGAAATCTCAACAATATGGTTGCCTAAACAAGATGTGAACAATGAGAACAGCACTATGACAAGGTGTTAGGGACCTATACTTAAGGACTTGTCTGCCTTCGGTGACCTATTGTCACTAGCTAGGTCCCACCTCCTAAAGTTCTGACAACTTCCCAAACAGCAGTGCAGGCTGGAGACCAAGCATTCAATATGAGCTCCCGGGGTCCCGTTCATATTCTAACCGCCCAGGTGCAGAAAGGGAAATTCATAGAACTGAATTAAAAACTGCAAGTTTCAAACCACTGCACTATGCTCCCACTTCCAGCACTTAGAACAGCAAAATAAACCAAAAACCATCAGAAGGAAGTAAATAAGCAGGAGCTTGTGAAGAAAACAGTGCAAGCATGACATGGTCCTTAGCGCATCACAATTCAGTATCTGAAAAGATGGATAATGGGGAGAATTGGTAAACCACTAATTTGGGGGAATGAAATGAAATGTCCTTACAGACTTATACCACACAGATGGTAGGGGCACACTGCAAACACCTGTGTGAATTTGAGAACTAGAAGGAAACTGATTTCTTGGGGTGAGGGGACAGCACTACAGTTCATCCAATAAGAAAGAAACTTTTTTTTTTTTTTTTATGAGACGGGGTTTCTCTGTATTGTTTTTGAGGCTGTCGGTCCAGCCTGGCCTCGAACTCACAGAGATCCGCCTGCCTCTGCCTCCCGAGTGCTGGGATTAAAGGCGTGCGCCACCACCACCCAGCTGAAAGAAACCTAAACAGGCATATAGCTATTAAGAAAATCAGGCTGGTAGTGGAGATGTATGCCTTTAATCCCTGGCACTCGTGAGGCAGAGTTGGGGGGATCACTGAATTCAAAGTCCTCTTGATCTACAGAGAGTGCCAGGGCTACACAGTGAAACCCTGACTTAAAAATCAAAAACAAAACACAAAACCAGGTTTGCAGTTCTTGAAATTTCCCCTACATTCACATACTGGGTGGTTTCGCTGGAGAATTCTTAAAGACTTTTAATTTGGTGTGCAAAGGCGCCTTGGTATGTATGTAGAGATTGGGACAACTTTCAAGCATCCGTTCTCTCCAGAAATGTGTCCTCAGGATCAAATTGAGGGCATCAGACTTGTCAGTAAGGGCCTTTAGTGGCTGAGCCATCTTGCCAGCCCAAGGGATGTGTTTTCTAAAACTCCTAGAATGAACAAGTCTAGCAAAAGTCACT